CCCAATACAAAACATTATTTTGTAGCAATGGCTGTTTTTCATTCTTTTCCATATTGAGAACATACAAGGGATATACAAAATCTAATTGAAAAAATTTTTTTTTATTTTGAGGGAGGGAGGTTTAAATAAATACAGTTAAATTCAAGGAATTAAGAAAAAATTGAATATAACAAAAGTTGAGGTAATTGTAAGAATTTTACACTAAGGAAGAGGTTTAAGATCATTGAAAAGAGGGGGTGAAAGCTCAATCGGGAGATCCGTCGCTGGAAGATTCGTCGCTAGAAGTGCTCTCGATCCGTCGGAGAACGAGAACGTTTAGCAATCGGCCCATGTTTTCGGTTATATGGTGTTCGACCCCTGTTTTTGGTACCGTTTTGGTCTGGATAAACGACCGTCAATAATTTTTGTTTCCATTTACAGCACGAATTTTTGCACCGATTTAAAATAGAATTGGAAATTAATTTTAATTTTAGCTTAGTTAACTTTTTTATTTGCAAAAATTATTTTATGATGAAAGCACATATAAAAATTCTGAATTATTTTTGGAAGATTTTACTAAAAATTTTTTGCATTGATAATATAATTTTTCTAAAATTTTAAATTTTTATTTCCTTGTTTACCTGAATAAACATATTTTTAAAAATTAGCTATATTTAAATACCCAACTCCCTCTTCAAAAAGCAACAAAAAAATTAATTTTGAAAATATTTTAAAAAATCCATTCTCACAACCAAAAAATGGCTATTAATTCAATTAAATCTTTAATTGTCTTTTTAATTTATTTAATTGTTAATTTAATGCTTTTGAGTGTCCCTTTTGTTGATTCGATCAAAGAAAAAAATCCTGGAAGTGGACCGTCAGGTGAAGGAGGCCGTCCAGGACATACTCATGAAAAGTAAGGTGGTCGGTAATTAATTGAAAGTGAAGAAGAAAGAAAATGAGAAAATCTAAAAAACAATAGAATCTATGGATGTCACCTTTGATATAAAGCTTCTAAATGATTGAAACAGATCAAAGGCCCTTTCTTTTCAGCTTTAGAGAAAGTCTTTTCCTTATCCCTCCTTCGTTTATCAAAAAGGAGAGAGGGCTTAACTCCGAGCAGCTCTAATTGGTGTTATCCCCCAACTGAAACATTCTAGAAGCTTTATATCTATCCGGATTCGACTGGGAAATATTAAAATATTACCATTCTATCTATACTTTTTAATTCTATTTCTTAAATACTTATAATATTAAAAAATAAAATTTCTTTATTTTTATAAAAATTGTTTTTAATTTTTGGATAAGACAGAAAAAATTTAAAGATGCCTGAGCTATTTGCTCATTATTCGCGAGCTGAAAAGGTAAACCATAGTTATCCTATTAAAATGAGTTTTGTCTTCCATATGGTTTTTAATCCTCAGAGCCTAACTTTCCGAGTTTCTCCTCCGATTAAGATTAATCTTTTCTAAAACTGACAAGTGGAATAATTCCGCGAGATTCCTCACGTTCGACCTTTTGAGCAAAAATTCCGTTATTTGATCCCGGACTTGCTATGTTGCCTTACTCTAGCTCTAAAAGTTAATAAAAACTAGAGTAAGTCGAGTTCGAGCGAGCCCGAGTTACTCGACTCGACCGCTCGGGTTTTTTGCGTAATTACTCGACTCGGAACTCGGGATTATAATACTCGGATTACTCGAGCTCGGAAACTTCCTACTCGACCGACTCGGTTAAAACCGAGTAATTTTAAGACCCTATCTGTGGCGCAAAAAGGAAGATTTCTAGCTCAAGGATCTTCCAAAATTCTCAAAATTTTCGCCTGCGGCGCTGAAAAAGGAAGAAATATAGTGGTTGGTCTTCCAAATTTCTTAAATTTTCGCCTGCGGCGCTAAAAAAAGAAGAAATTTTACTCTCTGGCCTTCCAAAATTTCGAAATTTTCGCCTGCAGCGCTGAAAAATGAAGATTTATGTATATCGGAGGATTGAATCAGGTTAGGTGAATTTTAGTGATATCCGGATATTTCAAGGGATCTAAAAGAATAGCGAGGGATCTGGCCTTCTGAAAATTGGGTGTGCCCACTTGGCCTTCAGAAATTCTCAAAATTTAAGCCAGCGGCGCGAAAAGAGAGGGATAAAGCAACGGATTAGAGCAACGGCAACCTCTTCCAAATTTCCAAGATTTTGCTCCCAATACACCCGAATCTCCCTATAATCGGCCCAAATCCCGCTTAACCCCTTAATATCCATCTCTCGCTTAATCCCTTGAAATCCATCTCATTCCTCTTATCACTCGATATCCCCTTAATCTACACAAATCCCCAAAATAATATCCATTGATTTTCAACCCGGAGCCTGGAGTCATCATGGATCGTGTGCATATCATGGAATTTAGGCGGATTAAGAGGGATATAGACGGATAAACGAAAATAACTGGGATTTGGATGATGATCTAACGCATTACTGTCAACAAATGCCCAATACCCAGCACTGATAATGAGTAAAAGTATTGTTTTTGGTAAAATTATTTTAGAATACTGTTTTTAAAAATTACTCGATTACTCGACTACTCGAACTCGAACTCGGCCTAAAAAGTTGAGCTCGAGCTCGAACTCGGGTTTTTCAAACTCGGATTACTCGAGCTCGGTTTTTTCCCAATTACTCGGTACTCGACTTACTCTAATAAAAACTACCTCATAAATTATTGAAAGAGAAAAGAAAAATATTCCAAGCCATTCATGTCGACGTTTTTCCAAAGGTATTTGGTCAACATTATAAGAACTACAGTTATATAGACGTTCATATTCATCCGGTTTAAAGAAATAAACTTCCATTATTTTATCTATTTAATTTTGTTAAAATTAGGGCTAGGAATTTTGAAAAAATTATAAAAAGTCCGTCGGTATACGATTTTTGAAATTTTGTTGGGCAATTGGGAGAGTTGCCCAAGTGGTTACTCTCTCTCTCTTGCTTTAACAGTCGAACTTCGTTTAAAATATCCCCGGGATTGAAAAATTTTTATTTAAAACCGTGGGTATCTTTCATTAAGATTATCGCTTAGGCAACTCCTCCTTGGTCCAAATAAAATTTTAAAAACGACTCTATAATCATAAAGTATCATAAGTATTTATTTATTAATGGAGGTATTTAAGGACAAGCTCCGACTTTATATATCTCACATTTTAAGTAATTAAATACCTCTAACTTTTATAATCTGAATTAATTGTTAAACGATTTTTTGACTTCATAAACGTAAATATTTCACTATAATATGTATAATAATTCCCTTGACAATATGGCAACTTTTGCTGTTTAAAAAACGAAGTAATCGGTGGAAATTGAGAATTAAAATTTTTTGACGTTAATCTTAGTTTAATTGTTTTAAAAATATTTTTAGACTTATTATAGGATTTATTTTATATTATTTTTATGTTAAATTTTTAAAAATTTCACAAAATGTTATACCAAGAAATCATACAAATAATGATACTAAAATGAATTTAAATTTTCGGAAGGATGCAATTATTTAAAATAATTATGTATGTACATTGTTATGTGCGCATGTATGACACTATCATTTTAGCGCCAGATTATTTTCTGAAGAGAGGCACGGTGAAAAATACATTTAACTCACTTGTATGACTAGATCTGTATCCGTATCCGGATATATACGGCGGGTACAGACGGATATCCGCAGGCGCCTTGATATTATTTGTATCCATCTCCGTGTCCATGCATGTTTAGGACACTTATACAGAAAAATGGCTTTAGTGTGAGACTTCGTACAGGTAGGATGTCATACAAATTTCGGGGTACAGCTAAATAAGATTTGCAACATGGATGTCAAGGGTTACCGATACCCGAAATCCTGATTTTTTGGAGACTCGAACCCTTTCGAAGAAAAATTTGAAACCCGACACGACTTTTTTAAAACCTGACATCTCTGGTGTATACCTACACTCATACACTTAGTCGCTTACAAAGGAGGGTGCCTGAGGGGGATCTTAAAACTGGCTTATAACTCGGTCCCTGTACCCCGCAGCGAAAATGGTGAGAATTTCTGAACTAAAGTAGGGTATGACCTACCCGTCTACCAAATTTCATCCCGAAGTCCCACGGACACCTCAAGCACTCTCCTTTGTTAGCCACTTTACACTTGGCAAGTAAACTTAAAATGCTTTGGTGTTGATTCGATTCTGGTGTTAATCCCATTCGAAGAAACTTGGCAATTGATATTGGTATATATGGCCTGTTCTAGAAACTTTTATTGATAAAATCGAGCCTTATCTTTAGATATTCACTTTGAGTTGACAAAAGTCCTTCCTTATGAAAACTTGCTTAAATTATAAAAATATCACTAAAATATCAGAAATCCCATTATATTTTCCCGACCTGCTCATTTAAAAAATAGTATAGTATGAGACATGCTAATTACTTGCTATTGTTAATTAATCTCTTCGTAAAATTTAAGTTCTGACTACAAAGCGGCATACAAAAAGGAATTCGGCAAAATTAAAGCTATTTTATTGAAATTCAAATCTTACTTCTTTAAAAATACTCAAAATATAACTAAAGTAACTCCTTATTAATAAAAAATTGGACGACATAAGAACGACATCATAAATGATGCTCAGTCTGGTACGAACTTCCAAGCGTTGGCTATGTCTTAAAATCTTCAAGATTGGAACCGCAACATGTTGTTCTTCTTAGTTGAAGTAGTGATTGGACAGAGAATCTCATTTAATGAATAAGAAATTTTTAATACGAGTTTGTATAGATGGTGGGCGAACATATTGGAATTGACGTGAGAAAAATAATCTTGCGTGTGTTAACGCTGGTTCTAAAACATAAAACTTTTTTTTCTTCAATAGGACAATTACTATCCATAATCCAGTAGCCGTAGGTCCCGATATCAGTAGCGTAACTTTTCGTACATTGAAATATCCCGATATGTTCGTCTCAATCTATCCTCAATTATGTTCCCCTGTTTAAATGTCCATTCTCATAATTTAGCCGATTAAATAAAGACCGGGAAAAGAAAAATTATAAAAAAAAGGAATGTCAAAAAATATATAGATTCTTGTAAATATAAACAAATTTTTTGAAATTTTTTTAAAAAATTATCTAGCACTCGCAGCTGTTCTCCCATTTAAATTATTTCCATATAATTCAGTCAAATCGCTACTTTGAACAACATAACCATTTCTTTGAGGGAGTTGTGAAGAAAACAAAATTGTTTTGCTTTCATTTCGACGATTATTTGGGGGAGAATGGAGAAAAGTTAAATTTTGGAGGGGAGGTTGTTGATGTTTTTGTTGTTCAAAATTTTGTTGTTGTTGAATATCGTCAAATGGGCCAAACATTCTTTGAACATTTCTAGGTGTTGTAGGCTGTGAAAGAGAACAGCCAAATGTTACTTGACGAGGTGGGTTTGTTGAAGAAGTTGTTGGAAAGGCTAAGAGAGGCATTGGGGCTGAAAAAGAATTAAATTTTGGTGGGATTTTTGAGAATTTTTTACTGCAAAAAAATTTTAATCTCTGAATATGTTGAAAATGTGAAAAGCGTGTGACTTATGGGAATGACTTAACGACGAACTATTTTTGTTTCAAAGTCAAAAATGTTATGTGTTTTAATTTGTCCTTCTAAAAAATTTTTTCAAAAATCCCCTCCTTTCCAAGAAGGGAATCCCCTCCAAAAATCCTCTCCTATTAGTCTCCTATACAACGATTTTTCCAAAGCAGACTAAATAAATGTTGTAAGAGAGTCCCAAATTAGTTCCAAAAAATCTTTTCTTTCAATCAGTTTCAGGAAGAAAAAAAGACCTGGAGGAGGCGGAATATGGCCAATAAGGTAATTAAGTTCTTCCACATCCTCCTCTTTTTCTATCAATTCTGGTGGTTCTCTAGGCAGTTGAGCTATTATTTGACTGGTCCTTTAAAATAAATTTTCAGTCAAAAAAATGGAATTAAAACTATGCCTGTATAGGTTTAGTCTAGGAGGTCCTCTATCTGGCACTGGATCAACTCCAAAAGAGCTATTTCTGAATTGGACATGCCCCGTTGATTCTCTTTCTCTTTGATCCTAAATTTAAAATAAAACTTCATTTTACTGGATAAAATCCAAAAATTACAATTTCTCGAAGTTTTGGCAGTTCTGTCCCGCTTGTTGGATTACTAGTCATTGAAAGATTCCTTTGTGGTCTTCGTAATGTAGCAGAAGACGTGATTGCAGCCGCATTTGAAGAACAAGGCCACAAAGTTGTACTAGGCAGGATATTATGTGAAGGTAAAGGTTGAACTGATGACACTTTTTGAATTGGTTTAGGCTTGGAAGATCTTGATTCCTAAAGAAGTAAATTTATTGTAGGGTTGTTACCCATCACCGAGTAATGAGTAAGTTATTGTAAGTAACCCATCATAGTAATGGTAAGTACCTACCCATCATACGCGAGTAATCGGGCACAAGAAGTCCCTTCCTGTTTTACCCTAAATAACCCACTCGCCCTCTACCTCTCTCATTTTTCTTCGAATTCTCGATTACTCGTTCTTGCCTCACCGTCCTCATATTTAACCCCTAATTTAAATTATACTTTGTTTCAAAATCGGGATAAAAGGTCTTATAAAACAAAACGCCAAAAAAGATTCTTTTGAACTAAAAAATTTTCCAACCCTCAATTTTCTAAGTGCCAGCCATATCCGTTTTGCATGCCCCAACTTCTGCACGCCCATATCCTCCAAGTCTTCAGCCTCTAACTGTTCCAACTCTCCAACTGTCAAACACCCCTGACGTTCAAATTGTTGGATATATTGTTTGAGACCTATGGCAGTTAACCAGTCACGAGTAGCCGCTTCTTTAGTTATGTCAGTTGGCCAGTTGTCCTTAAGATGTTAAGATTATAAGTCTTATCAATGAATCGGACACTCAATCTAAGATGTTTGTAACATTTGGTTGGCCCCGTTTAAAGTACCCTCACTGAAAGATAGAATCGTTTAAGCCCCGAGAGGATAACTATAACTGAGTTCTCGTACCGCAACATTCTGCCAACATTGAATATCTTGAACCAAACATTTGCGATCGTCTGGTTTTGTAATTCCCAAAGTCGTCAGATCCTCAGGTGTTGCCCTAGCTAAAGTGGGCAGATCATATCCTTGGGACAAGAAGAGTGCCAAATATTCAGAAAGACATAAACGTTGGAGCCATTCAGCGAAGATTTCTTGTTCCTACAAAATGTTTTAGTGTCTTCTTAGAGACCCTTCCCTCCGACTCACAGGAATTCCTTTTGCCAACATTTCTCCAATATTTACACGTGAACAGTTTCCTCTTCTTGTCCTTTCTGTTTTGGAAGACCTTTCACCCTTCTTCAAAATTGTAGTTAAAGTACCACTTTCAACTTCCCCAATCCCTGTTGAAGACAAATCAAGCCCATCAGAAAGTGAAAAATAAGCAGAAGAACGTCCTCCTTGTGTAGTAGCTGTAGATGATCCAGTAGATGAAAGACGTGAGGATGGGGAAGAGATTGAGTTATCTTCATTTGGTGATATTTGAAAGGCTTGGGGAGATTCGCTTTGTTGTTGAAGTTGGTGGTGGGCAGGAGTGGAGTGGCAAGGTTGGGCTAATTGGTGAGAACTGGCACTCTAAGAATTATTGAAATTTAAAGAAGTTTAGAAGGACCTCTATGGCGTAGTGACAGAATACCCACAGACAAAAGACCCAAGGACAGAAGAACCACAGACAAAAGACCCACAGACAGAAGACCCACAGACAGAAGACCCACAAAGACAGAATACCCACAGACAAAAGACCCACAAGAAAAATTTTTTAACCAAAACTTAAGAGGAACTTTCCTCTCTCCGATATCTCTCTTTAACAGAAAATCGGATATGTCAAGGGATTTAAAGGGATATAAACGGATTTAAACTTTTTAAGCTTTTTTAATTCTACTAATCCGCTTTTATCAAGCGATATCCCTCCATCTTACTCGAAATAATTACCTAATCTCTGCTATTACCAATTATCCACGACATCCTTGTAGATTTCCAATACCCTTGTTAACTTCTAATCCTTCTATATCCCTCCATGTGGAGGGATATAGAAGGATAAAAGGTGTATTAGTTAATCTTTTATCAAGGGGTATTAAGTTTATCTTGAATACCCCTTGATACTAAATGTCCCTTTGATCTACTTTTTCTTTTCATTGTCGCAGACAAAAATTTTGGGAATTTTGAAAGGGCAAGAAGCAACGTTTCTACATTTTTAACAACCTAGGTGAAAATTCTTTGAATTTTGGAAGGCCAATTAGCTATTTTTATATCATTTATTATATCTGAACCTGATCAGATTATGTTATTTGACATGACCTGGACCGGATTAAAAATCCCGAAAATCCGGGGAATCAAAACCCTTTCGTTAAACAAGCTCCCCTGTCATTGGGACAAGATTCCCATCGTTGGAACAACTTGACCCGTTTTTGCAACAACATCCCCCATTGTTAAAATAACATCCCCGTTGTCGGAACAACTTCCCCGTTATTGGAACAACATCCTACATTGTTGGAACAACCTTCACGATTATTGGAACGACCTTTGCTAATATCGAAACAACTTTTCCCGTTGTTGGATCACCTTTTTATTATGGAAAACTAATGAAATTAACAACATCCCTTGCTCCAAAATAAAACTGAAAAATAGTTGTGGGTCTTTTGTCTGTGGGTATTCTGTCCTTGTGGGTCTTCTGTCTGTGGGTTTTTTGTCTGTGGGTCTTCTGTCCTTGGGTCTTCTGTCTGTGGGTCTTCTGCGTCGACACGGACCTCTATATAATCTACATCATTAGAAATACTATAAAGAGAAGGGCTCTTTTAAAAGTATCATATACTGTATTTGTGAAACGGTACAAATTTGTGGCAGAAATTTTGTCAACAAAAATTTTTAGGAAAAAAAAATCTCATTTTTTAATTCATAAAAACACTAAATTAATAAGAAACGACAGCTCGCCTTCTCCTAATTAAATTCCAAAAAATACCAACTTTGGAACTTTCAAATCCAGAACTTGTTTGGCTGCTATTTGTAGAGCCTGTAGAATTTCGATTAGTGTAATTTACTTTGTTGCTTTTTTCAATTCCATGGGGTTGTTGTGTTTGGCAACAACGGCCATTCATTATTAGACGGGCTGAACCTACTAAAAATTTATGAAAGTTAAGTTTGGAATTTTCAAAATTTTTAATTCAAATCCTCTCAGAAAAAGGTTAAAATCTGTGGAATAATGTAGAAAATCGTTTTAATTCGTTTCCCTATAAATTAGCCAAATGAAAAGCTAGAAGTTTAAAATTTTGCAGAGATATCCTCAATAGTCTTAATTTATCTCTCATAAAATCTCAGATTTTTTGGTTGGGTATTTTCTCTGTTATGGTCAAAAATCGCGCACATTGCTCTAAAATTTAGACATTTTTTATCATAACCTAGGAAATATTGCCCCAAAAATTCTGAAACTTTGTCAGAATATAAATAACCCTACTAACGATATCCCCGCAAAATTTCATCCCTCCAAGCCTTACTTTAGTAATTTTATGAGCTCGCGCCGAGACATCATTCTACCCTCTAAACATCATTTTACCCCCTCTTTCTCGACATAAATTAATTTTTCTATTTTTCCTTCCTAATTAAATTAACATTTAAGCTATAATTAAATTAACACAAATATTTTCTCTTTTTTAATAAAAAGAATAGTTTTCACTTTAATTTTTGTAAATCAAAGCAATTTTAGTTTAATTTCTGTTTAATTAATTTGTCTCGAAAAGAATCGCCCCACTTTAAACTAAAAAAAATTGTTTTTTTTCCCATTGTGTGGTTTAATACGAATTAATAAAAGAACGAAGAACATTGGAAAAACGATTGGGAAATTTATAGATGTTTTTATTAAAAGAAAAAGTACATATAATTTATTACATTTTAAAATTTTTTATTAAAAATTATTTATGCCCTTTTTAAGAGAAAAATAGGGAAAAGGGGAATTTTTGAAACAAAAATATACTTACACCCAAAAGATTGAAAGAAAATAGGCTTGTCGTTTTTTTCAGTCCGGTCCTTCGTTCGGTTCCGGATATCCGAAAACTTTCCAAGTTTTCGGATATCGAAAGCCAAGGTTGTTCGAAAGCCAAAGATACAAGGGAATTCGTTACGAAAAATTGGAATTTACCCAACAGAAAAGAGGGAAGAAAGAAACTAAGTTGAAAACCCAGAATATTTTAAATTTTAGTAATTGATTCACTTGCATTTTAGGCTCATAAAGACATCAATTAGCCTGGGTTTCGAATTCCTAATAACTTTTCCCTTACAAATATTAAAGGGAATTGACAAAATTACTTAATATATCATTTATCAATAAAGTTTCGATTTAATAGGTTAACCCTTAAAATAACCATAAAAACAAATTTAGAAAACAAAAGACAAAACAAATTGAAAATAAATAGTAACAAACAAAACTTGGACAAAAACTAAAAAAAACATTGAAAAGTTTGAACAAAAACATACATTTATTTCCTTGTAAACATGCGCGAATCTCTCTTTACCCAAAAACATAAAAATAAAAACCAACCGGGAAAATCTTCTTCAACATTCATGAATGCCGTCTCCGCCTCTTCATTATTATTATTATTTCTTTCCGTAATATTACTAGAAAATTTCATGCCCATCTGTTGTAGTAAAGGCGCTCCCATTGAACGAGGTCTAGTAGTAGTTCGTCCACCACGCTGCAATAAAGGGGAGCGCCTTGGAGGGGGTGGAGGAGGGGGTGGAGGGGAAGAAGTAGAAGAATGAGCGGAAGAGGTTCGAAGGCCATTTCTTTCTTCTTCCTCCTTCTTCTTTTGCTGTTTTGAACCTCCTCCAATTGTCGCATACTTGTCATTTTCGTCTTTAAATGCTGAATAATAATTAGAAGAAGCGGCATTTTTCTTTTTTGGCCCATCAGCGGCAGCAAAGCTTCGTCTATTTAAAATACCAAGAAAGGGGAAAGAAGAAGATCCAGTAGTGGCAGATGCAGAAGATTGAGAAGAAGAATTTGATGAAGCTATTTTTGGTTGTTGAAGAGGGTCATTGTTGTCCTTTTTTGGAACAGATTTTTTGCCGCTTTCCCCTCCTCCGAGAAGAAAACGGCGACGCATTTTTGAAAAATATTTAAATTTTTCTTTTTCGAAACACTAAACACAGCGCAACAATAAAGATACACAACTAAAAAATTTAAAATAAATTAAGAGGACAAAACACAATTATAGACTTAATAGAAAAAAAATTTTTGGCAACCTTTTCAAAATAAGGATTTTTTAAAGGTTTTGGATAATTCTAGTCCAAAATAATTACCTATTGATACAACACTATACCTTGGGGAATGCTGGTAAGAGAAAGGAATAAACCGAAACGTGATTTCGTTCAATAATCCCTTCCGTTTGATTGAGATTTTTAGGGAGAACGATCTTTAACCGATCCTCAAATCCAGTAATTTAACCCGTTATGGCTATATCCTTTGAAATTTAGGGGGAATTTCATGCCGGGATAGCATATATGTAAATAGAGGCATGTGCCAAACAGAGCAAATGGAGGGAGGTTTAAAGGAAATCAAAAATTGTGTATAGCCCATTCAAAAAATTTAATAATCAATTGTCCTGATTAAATAATTTTTTATTTCAAAATTTTTGAAATTTTTTGTAATTTTTAATAAAAAATTCTTTTACCCAAAAATTAATTCAAAATATATTTATTAGTCGTTAATTTAAACAATTTCTTTTTTTAATAAAATAAATTTGTTGTTATTCTAAAAAGGAATGCTGCGGTTTGCGCTCCCCCAAACTGACAGTTCTTTTTGACAGTTTTTTGAATTGTGGCGTTGGTTGAATTTTTTGATTAATTATTTTTTGTCTTAAAATTGAAGGGGGATTGAAGGGTTTTTGTTGAAAAGGAACGAAAAAATAGGTAGAAGATATAGATTTTTAAAGGTATTTTGAAGGGGAAGAACGGTTGGAAGGAAGAAGAAAAAAATGTGAAGGGAAGGAAGGTCATCTCTCCCTTTATGCTAACAACATTTACTTGGTTTAAGCATTACAAAAAGGGCAAAAAAAGAGAAGAAGGAGATGATGAGTAGAAGAAGAAAAAATGTAAATATATTTTTAAATAAAAGTGTGTAAATTTATTCTTAGGCTTCTTCTAAAAAGGGCCAAATAGAAGGGGATTAATCAATAAGAAAAGGGGGAATGTGGGGGGTTGTTCTACAAAAGATCAAAAAGCTAAGAGGAATGAATAAA